TCTCTCTCTCTCTCTCTCTCTCTCTCTCTCTCTCTCTCTCACACACACACACACACACACACACACACACACACATAGACACATATGAACAACACACTTTCATTCACTGCTGCTACTCGTGTCAGTTGACGACGATGTGGACCTCGATCAGGATGAAGACGCGAAAGGCCAAGAGTTGTTGCTACTCGATTCATCGTCCTCTTGCACATGTTTCCTCTTCTTCTGCGGTTCACGTTTCGGCGATCGATCAGCTGACGCGACTTTCTTTTGCACTCGTCGAACCCTCTTCCTTTTCGCCTGTCAAACAACAACACTCTTTTCTTCCAGTGTCTCGGGCGGCGTGACAATCTTGCGTTCGTTCCTTCTTCCGCCTCTCGTCTTGGGTGTCGCTGCCTCCTTTTCCTTGTTCTTCCCTCCCTTCTTTCTGCCCGCCAAACTCTTCACTCGGTCCACCTTGCTCTCGCCAATGTCGGGCGGTGACCCCGTTGCACGCCGTGCACTCATATCATGTGGTGGGGTCGTTCCACCATCCTGGACTGGCGTGGTCCTCCGCCTGTAAACTAGGGCGTGTGTACCCTCCCCAGCGACCAAAGGAATGTCCTCGTTCAACCAAAGAGTGGGTGGGGTGGGTCCAGTGAATCTGGCCCAATCAGGGGTGTTAGACTCGTCATCAGTCCGCATTGGGGACATCGAAGCCAGGTGCTTACAAAATTCTTGTGCAGATCCACGCAGGGCAATAGGGGCCACGTGCGACAACAGGAAGGCGAATCTCTCCCCCAATCACAACCCCGAATCCGGAGTGGAGAACCCATCGCCGCTCACAATGGGACCATCTTCGGTCCCCGTGTCTGCACCAACAGCACCATCATCAACTGCACCAACAACACCATCCGTAGCAGTGGCACCGACCGGATCATCCCCATGCTCACCAACCGGATCATCCCCACGCGCATCAATTACCACATCGGCCTCCACCGGAGCAACAACAATGGGGTCGTCCATGTTTGCACCAACATCTGCCTCCATCGCATCACTGTCATGGGAGACGTGCGCAGACCCACTAGGTGTGGTCCCGCGAGCGGTGCTTGCCCCTCTCGAGTGTGGGTCGCCGATGACGGGTGAGCTGTGCTCCCGAGAGTGAGGCGGTCCTCTGCAGCGAAGCTGCACCGGCTAATATGGAAGTCCGACGTCGTGAACGAACACCCTCCTCTGCGTCGTGATGTGGTCGCGTGGGGAGGAAGAAGATGAACCGCCTCCCGACCTCCTAGTCGACCGCCTGTCTACTAGTTCCACTAGAACCAACTCGTCATCATCCTCGCTGTCATGCCTAGGCTCTTCGTCGTCAACATCAACAACAGTCTTCCCATGGTCATGATCCGCAAGACGGCGAGGGCGGTAAGAAAGATCAAGGAGCCATGCCCCACCGTCCTCCCTCTCCTCCTCAAGCTCCCGAATGTCGAATTTGGTCGACTTCGATCTCCGTCCACGAGATTTGGACCAGTTCGCTGCCCTCCTCTTCACTTCCTCCCGGTCGTACTCCCCGTCGTGCATGAAACCATCATAGGGAGCCAAGTCCTCCGGTGTCTCCCACTTCAGTCACTCTGTGTTAACAAACCCGATCTTCATCTTCGACATCTTCAGCAACTTCTTGTTCCAATGGATGAAGACAAGCATTTGCAAATTCTCCAGGCTCAATCGATTTCTCCTCTTCGTGTGAATGAGGTCGAAGGTGGACCAATTCCTCTCGCATGGAGAGGCGGTTGTCCACATGCTGAGCACTACGACTACAATCTTCTGCAACGGCTTGTGATTTTTCCATATGTCAACCACCATTGCGCCGGTGAAACGTGAGTGCATGCCAAAGCCTCCTCTGAGTTCGACCAAATCCACTCCCGAGTTTTGTGATGGAAACTCTCCAAGGACCTCCAACACTCTTTGTACTGCTTCGAATTTTTGGTGTAAACCGCAGCAAAGTGTGTCGGAGTGTTCATGATCTCCACAGACTCCAAGTCGTCGAATAATCTAGGCGACATGTGGAGTGGGTGCAACATCCATGCTGCTGCGTGCACAGGGAGAGCCATCATCCGCACACGTTCCTTCACCTTCTTCATTACGATCGCCCTTGTCTCGCAATCCATGGGCAAAACAGCCATCCGCTTCTCCAACGTGATCCCCAAGGACCGCACCTGCATCCCCATCCTCCCGTCTCTATCCATGTCCCTCATCAACGAATAAACTGGCCGAAGCAAAGTGCATGGCCGCTCGACGGTCAACAACCAAGCCGGGTCTCGTATGAGATCCTTGCAAGCTCACGCCCTTGACGCTGCGGTCCGGTCCCACGGGGAATCATCCCACCGCGCATGGGACACTGTCGCCAACAACACTGCCTCCACCTCCCGTAGTCTCTGCAACATGACGAAGTTTGTGCCAAATCTAGTTTCCCCTGGTTGGATCAACTCCAGTGGCCTACCGTCTTTGATGCCCAGCTGTGCCTTATACTCCCTCCCGGACCTCATGAACATCACCAATGCTCTTTGGTGTCTCTTGCTGAACGTCGTGATCTCCCTACCCTGCAGAATCACCTCTCCAATCCATGGCACTGAAGCGATGTCGCACATGAGCAGGTTGCACACATGGCCTGCACATGGCACCCAAGGAATGCTCCTGATTGTCGGGTCGCCGTGGTCAGTTAGTATTTTCCTTGCGGATATGTTCACCTAAGCCGAGTTGGTGCATATGGCATTGACCCTATGCACCCCCAACTCCATGATGACCTCCTCCCACATCCTCTCCAAAGCCAGAGCCGACTTGTCCTTCCCCTCCATGTCAACACTCTTCACCATGACAGCCCCCGAATCCCTGACCGCAATGAATTTTATGACCGTCCCGTTGCTGGTCGTTGTCGTACTGTCCGTCATCAAAGTGAGGCATATGACATCCCACGGCTCACGGATCTTGTCCAAATCAGTATCCACAGTTTTGTACTCCGCAGGCAGTGCCTTCGTCCTCAAGAAGTTGTACCCTGGCAGTTTCAACATCTTCCGCGACCTGGCCACCTCGTTCATGATCCTCTCCATGTTCTTATAGGAGTCTGATCTCGCGGTGTTGAATGCAATGGCGTTCTCGAAGACGAATGAGGCAATCGCCTGGTCAAACTCTTTTCGGAGCTCATCCACGACAAAAGCAGCAATGGATGTCTGTTGCTGCCCCACACAGGCCGAGGGAGGTCGTAGAGGGCAAGCGGAAGCCAAGACGGGACCCCGCAAGTGCTCGGCAATCTCTGATGGCCTCTCATCATCCGTGCAAGTGCAGGCTGCTATGTTCCCCATGAACGTCGATCCAAAACCAATGTCGCTCCCTTCCTCCAACGTTGAACCTGCCCTATAATCTGCCCCCGACGAAGGTGTGTCATGACCACCCTCCCCCTCTGTGTGCTGATCGGGCTCCAAATCCACGGGATCCTCCGCGACCGGCGGACGGGCCTGCATCCTATAATACTCATTCAATTTCTTCATCATCAATGGGCAGATTTTGTTTGACAGGTGGAACTTGTGGACCGCAGCAGCAATCTCCCCGGTGTTGTGCTTGCAGCGAGCAAGTTATGATGACTGGACAAAGTGCTTCGCCGCTCTCAATACCGTTCCGGTGAACTCCTTGTGGCACAATCTGCACCACAATCTCCAGTTGCCCTGTGACGTACCGCCCAACAACTTCTGCCCTCGGTCCACCCATTTCCAAACATCGGACTTCCTCAGCAGTTCCTCTCTAGCTTCACCAGAATCGGGCACGAATGGTCCCCGATTACCTGCCATGGTCGTCAAAAAAGACAATGGAAGAAGAAGGGGTGGGTGATGGTGGTAAGAAGAAGAAGAAGAAGAAGAAGAAGAAGAAGAAGAAGGAGTGGCTGTTCAGTGCCCTACAAATTTCCGAATTAAAAAAAAAAAAAAA